ATTTCCCATAAGAACTCCTCGATTTTCATCTATTTCCATAAGCGCCCCCTCAATTTCCACTCTGTTTTCATAAGCGCCCCGTTCAAATAAGCGCCCCGTTTGAATAAGCGCCCCTCAGAAAGTGCAAAAAATAATTTAAGCGCCCAGGCGCTTATTCGCGCGAGTACGGTATGCTACCTTGAAAAGAAGCATGGGCTTCTTTTTGAGATGGGCTTCTTTTCGAGGCTAATTTTGCAAACTAAAAAAAGAGGGGGGGGGGGCTTCAATTCGAGATGGCCGTCACTGTCTCGAGATTAAGCCCACTGGGCTTCAATTCGAGGTTTTACGACATATAAGGACAGAAAGGCATTTCAATATTTAATATATTGGCTGCTGAAGATTGTAAAACCGAATGAACTGTGTTCTGGGAAATTTTGGAAAGGGTCAATATAGATTCAACTGGTGATATGATCAATCATATTGACAGTGTGTCAATAATGAGTACCACCAGTCAGCAGATGAAAACGTTCGATTATGCAATTAGCATAAAAAAGATCTCAACCACAACTCCATCATCCCCATTCTGTTCTCCCTGCCCTCATATTTTTCTAAATAGCCCTAGACATTTTGTAATACCTGTAAATCTTTTCTCTGTAATCTCTGAATTTATTTGTTTTGATTCCCTTTTGAAATTGTAGGCCTATATATGCAATTTGTGAATCCATACTATCTTTACTGTGATATAATTATTGGAAACAAAAGAAATAAAGAATAATTACAATTCTTTTCAAGACTGGCAGCTCTCTCTGTCTCTGACTATTGTATTTGACGCGTTTGTCTGAAATTCTTATTCTTTATAATGGCCGAATAAAGAAATTAAATTTCACTATTTTTGAGTAAGCTGGCATGGTAGGACTACCGACGGTGCGAACAGTCACTCAATAATTTAATTAAATTTCGTTTATTGGTATAACAAAACACTCAGAAGGCAACATAGACATGTTGAAAATTATTTAATATAAACAGAAGAAAAACACAAGACATTAAAAGAAATAATTTTAATTTATTAAGAATTTAGAATTATTGCCTATCTATTACCAGAAGATAAAATGAACGTTACTCCGAATAAAGAGAGGGAGGCCATAATTCAACGTTTCGACCTTTATTGGGTCATCTCAGGAATGAGAAAATTTAGACCATGGAGAAAATAAAATAGATTATTTATTAGATTATATTTTATTTTCTCCATGCTTAGACAGTGATTACAAAAAATGCTACAATATTTGAATGAGGGGATTAAAAGCTACTACAATAACAATGGTGATTAAGCATAATGGTGATTATGAGAGAGGCAATTAAGTTGGGTTAGATTACATTAGATAAACAATTTCAACTCTTTTGATGCTTTGAGACCACCAGAAGAAATATATAAATTGAACCAAAGCAATAATCCAGTCTGTATAATCTGTCTTATCCTATGTTGTCGCTCCACTCGTATGCTAGAGGGCGACAGGCATGTTCTGGCTTCCATCAACATTGTTATTAAATACCAGTTCGCTAACAAGCAGATTCCGTGGTGTAGCGGTTATCACATCTGCCTAACACGCAGAAGGTCCCCGGTTCGAGCCCGGGCGGAATCAAAGTTTTTTATTTTCTTACGTAACGATGAGAAATTCTTTACAGATGAAAAAAAAAATTAACATTCATATTATTCTTTCTTTTTTACTTTCAAATTCACGAAAAATTGTATTGCTTGGACAGTCTGTAGTGTCTCTATTGAGACCACCCCAAAATTCAGATACACAGAGTGGTCTCGAATTAGAGAGTGGACTGTAGTAAAATAGGCATAATTTGAAAGATTTTAAATATTAAAATTTTCAGATGATTCAATAAAATTTACTTTAAAATTAAAATTAAAATAGGCCTACAAGTAGAATAAGCGTCATCTCAAACAATTAACAAGGTCACCCCCATACAACACCCGCCTTCATCAAAGTATTATTCGGAAAAAAACCCTTATTCCATTCTGATATAAAACGAGATCATCATGATATGAAAAATTAATTGCGCATGGTCTGTCTATCGCCCTCTTGAGTACAGTATACATACTATATAATTTTATAATTCATAGTTTCCGAGCACGATTAAACCGATTCGGTGTTATTGAACCTCTCCATAAATACATTAATTGTTTTAATATTGACTGACGATGTTTGGAATAGAATAGAAACATTGAAAGAAAACTGTTGTTAAAGATTGTTCAGCAATATCGTAATATCATAGACGGGGTTCCTGTTCAAATCGAAAATGGACCCGTTTTATAATACAGGTCTCCCTCTAATTCAGACAACTCTATATATAGCGGGAGGCAGCAGGTTCGA